TCCTCTTAATATCTAGCGGCCTCACGCGCGATGGACTTTTCAAACAAATTTTGCCGACAACAGCGTGTGTTTGCACTCTGGATGGTGTCTATAGAATAAAGAAAATCCAACCGCAGCTACAGTATTCTTTTACAAAACAACTTTCAAGTCAAAAATGCAAGAAAATTATATTTCTTTTAACTATAAAAATCGATTATGGTCGGCTGTGGGCCTCTTAACGTCCAGCCCCCCCCCCCCCCTCCCGCCCCCCGCATTGCGGGGTCTGGCTGCACTGTAGTTCCGCACCTGGCTACAACTTGAAAAGATTTGCTAAAAAGGAGTATATAGCTACCAAGACAGAAAAGGTAGGTAAGAACATTAAATATACTTGGAAAGGAGCAGATTGAATTCAGGATAGTCAACAAGTCATTTCTTTACGAGTGTTTGTGTGTTTACTGCTAGATATAGAAAATGAATTATCAAGTGAATGTGTCAAGTTATATATTATTACTCTATTGAGAATCACTCCTTCATTTTTATACAAGACGTAGGCCTACATTTAAACAAGAATTCCATTATGTACCCAAAAAAACCAATGATGTGTTAAGATTTGCAGCAATTACTTATTATTCATGTTATAATGGTAGTTGTTAGTCTTGGTCTCTTAAATTAAAAACAAGTGATTAGCAGTTAAATAGTAAGCAATTATTATAATTTATGTGTACTGTTCACGACTTTTCTTTTTTAAACAGATCCATAAAGTTTAGGTTAAATAACCAATTAGATTTTAATATTTCAATTGAAATACCGTATACTTCATGAACAATTGTACCAGTGACTTTCTTCAGGGAAAAAAAAACTGGACCATATCTGACTTTAATTTTCCGATACCATTGCACCATTGCAGGGTCCACAGGGAGCGGTCAGAATTTGCAGATCGGTGCCCTGTCAAAACGGCCCTGGACAAATCGGCCCCGTCAAAACGGCTCCGTTAATAAGACCCCGTAAAATCGACCCCGACAAAACGACCCAGTCAAAATAGCCAGGTCAAAAGGGCCTCGACTTATTGACTCCCGTCACATGGGCTCCCGTTATATTGACTCGCGACATATAGTCTCCCGACAAATGAGCTCCAGACATTTAGGCTCCCGACAAATGGACTCTCGACATATTGGCTCCCGACAAATAGGCTCAGGATATACTGGCTCCCGATAAAGTAGCTCCCGACATATTGGCTCCCGACATAAGGGCTCACAACAAATGGGCTCCCGACGTATTGGATACCGACAAAATGACTCCCGAAATATTGGCTCCAGACAAATGAATTGCATGACCACTATTGGCAGAAAAGTAACCATTATGTTCTACCTCCACTACCACTATAACCTCTTTTTAATGCCTGAATGAAATTGTTTTTCATGAACCAACATCAATTCACAAACAAATCAAGCCCTTAACAGCTAAAATCTACCAATTCTAAAATTTTGATAATTCTCAATTTACAACATTAAAGATCTGTTGCATAAAAAGCGAGCACAGATGTGAAAATGTACGATATACATGATGTTTACAGAATAACGACATTTTGTTTTGATAACCTACAAGTATACTTGAGGTAGGAAAGTACAGCTTGGACCCTTCTCCCCACACACTGAGTTGGAACAGCATATAACCGACTCAATTATGGAAGTCATAGACAGATGACCCTTAAATAAAAACATACTATACTTTGTAATAGATAAACTAATATTAAAAAAGGCCTGCCGAACAAGAGACGCATACGTTGTATTACTTAAGAGTGTTGGATAAGCTAGCTCTAAAGAATATTGATGAAGGGGTCCCACAGGCAGGTGTTATATTCAATGAGACCGCTTTGCCGGGAGACTTAGTCTCTACAGAAACGGTATTGTCAGTGGTCCTTTTGTCTGGAGCCAAATTGACAGAAGCCTTTTTGTCGTGAGCCAAAATTACGCTAGCCTATTTGTCGGGATTCGTAATGACGGGGGCCGTTTTGTGGAAAAAAAACTAAATGACGGGAGCCTATTTGTCAGGAGCCTTATTGACTGGAGCCCTTTTGTCTGGAGCTTATATAACGGGAGCCTATTTGTCGGGAGCCTAAGTGACGGGAGCCTATTTATCGAGAGCCTTTATGACAGGGTCCATATGTCGCTGGCCATTTTGATGACTGGGTCAATTTGACGGGGCTCTTATGTCGGGGCCGATTTGTTGGGGTCGTTTTGACGGGGCCGTTTTGTCATTGGCCGTTTTGACGCCGCACGTTGCAGATCATACCATCACTGGTTGAAAACCTCCTAACATAAGCCCTTTAGTTTCTTTTAATTTCTTTTTAACAAAATATGTAAATAATGGAGATAATGACTGATCTAATTCTGATTAACTACAAAGGCAGTAATTGTTGTTATATATCAATGGATGTGGGTATCACTTTAATCACTTAAAATATTGTGCATGCTGTCTTCAACAATGACCTTGTTATTTTGAAAAATGTCAATGTTTTGTAAAATGGGTGTCACATGTAAGTCTGCATTTATTTGTGTAAATTATAAAATGTCAGTTAACCCTTTTCTTTTTGTATTGCACATTTTTTTTTCTTATGGATTAAACTGATTTGGATGTTTAGTCCAAAATCATTAATCAGTGTACTGTTAACAAATAAAAAAATAAGAGCTTTTTTTTTAAATTAATGTGTTTTTTATTTCTCTTTACTAGATGCAATTTGTTTTTCTATTATGTTTTCTAATAACGGGTAATATAAATGGGATTAAATAGCTTCAACTAAAGCTGAAATCACTGTCTGATTACATGTTAATATCTTTTGTAACAACTCAAACTTTAGTCCTTTTTCTTCATAGTTGGTCGTTAAAAAAGTCAATTCATTATCATGTATGTATTTGTGTGTTTGCTTTAAAGCGCGTATTTAAGCTTTCATACATTTTAAAATTTAACTCTATACTTTTTGTGTTGATTTTCTAAAATTGAAACAAAAAATCTTTTTGCTCTTATGACATAATTATGTTTTTTCGAAAACATTGTAAAAAAATAGTCCAGTTTGCTTTAAATTCAATTATTTTCCCCTTTAGTGTTATTGAATTTAAAATGTATTTTGTCAAACTCAGTTATTGAAAAATAAACCAGAGATCGCTTGATAAAGATTTATTCAGACCAAGTAAATAAAATCAGCTTTCAATTGTTCATTTTATTGTGTCTTTAAAATTCTCATTATATGTTGTTACTGTTTACTTTGTCTTACATCTAAAATGTAATTATAATGTCCTTATAAACTGTTGTAAAGCAAATGGCAATTTTTAGAGACCTAATGTGTAGAGATAAAAGCTTTAGTAGTATTGCAACCCACCCAACAACTTACTTTTTATGCTAAGTAATTCGTCAATACAACAGATTTTAATTCACACAAAATATGTAGGTTAGTAACTCAATGCTACACTGAGGATACTGTGTGGTCAAGAATAGTAGTACTGTCGAATAAGTTGTGTCCCCTGCTAAGCTGACATCCATTTAAGTTCAGTGTACTGTATCTCTGACTTTAGACAGAGTTTCTTCCAGGCATACACCCCCCCCCCCCTCTAACAATGAGAAAAAAGTCTAAAAGAACACTGACTGTAAAACCATTACAGATACACAATTGAATTACAGTCTACAAGTGAGACATTTACTACTACCCACATTTCACTTCTTTCTACTAAACCAGTGTGTTTTAAAATTTAAACTAAGGTCAAGCTCATAGGGTAAATGCAATATGTCAAGAACAATGACTGACAATGTTGTTACATTATATTAATTTCAAGGAAAATGTACCATTCCCTCCAACTAAAAAGTACAACTGATTATAAAATTATGTTGAATTGTCTGTATAAATTCTTAAGAGTTATAGATTTAAATTTAAAAATGAACACTAAACAAAAGTAGTTTGTTTTATTGTAAAAGCAAATTATTTTTATGGCCATTTAAATTGAGCATTTAATTGGAAAAATGAAATTGTAAGTGAACAAAGCAAATTATTTTTATGGCCATTTTAATTGAGCATTTAATTGGAAAAATGAAATTGTAAGTAAACACTATGACAGAGACAAAATTCATAAAAGTAATTGTTTTTAAAAAAAAGTAAATAAGGATGTAACAAATTCAATGTTAAATTTCAGAAAAAAAGGATATAGAAATAATTGAAAATTTATAATGAAACTGTTAGGAGGCTATGCTAAAGTGTAGAGAGAAGGAAAAAATTTAAGGGAATAGTGTCACTAAGACAAAATGAAAATTTGACTAAATAAACTGCCAAACATTTTTGCCGATACACATACGTATATAAATACTTTTCTATAGCAATACATGTACATTTAGGCATATGTATATATATATATATATGTTTCCATGACAAATAATCCCAGACAAAATATCCCAGACAAAATATCTCACAGATAAATGATCTCACATAGCAATTTTAAAAATGTTAAAATCGACTAAATTCATTATAATACTATAAATATTTAGCTGTGAGATATTTTGTCTGGCACCATTTGTCCATGTTATCTTTTGTCCTGGTATATATTGTCCTGAGACCTTTAGTCTGTGAGATCATTTGTCATTGAGATCATTTCTCCTGAGATCATTTGTCTGTGAGATATTTTGTCTGAGATAATTTGTCATGTCACCATATATATGTATATAATATATAATATATATATAATATATATATATATATATATATATATATATATATATATATATATGTGTGTGTGTGTGTGTGTATGTGTGCATGTATATAGATAACATAGATATTTATATAATAGTCTAGATTCTTTAAAAACCTTTTTTTTTTAACTTTTCTTTTTGTGAATATTTTATCTTAAACATCAAATTAGCTTTAATTGGTGTTGTAATTGATATTTGAATAATGTGAATTTATAATGAGTATCAATTTTCAGAACAATTATTTTAATTTATCTATTTAATTAGTCTTTTCGCAACATGATGTATGAATCATCTTCACATCATTGTTTCTTCGTAAACGTTAAATGAATTTTAGTCCCAAGAACTGAGAAGAATTATTGTATAAACATAGATTATAAAAAAATTATATTTAATATAAATGCGCTTTTGAAATCAATATTGTCAAAAGTTGGTGGTGACAATAAGAAATTATTTACACTTTGCCTCTACAGATTATTTTATATATATTTCACATAGTTATACATATTATACATGTATACATATTCTATTACATTGTGGTTGTGATCTCTTCATAATTATCAATTACATCAATGTAAGAACCGCCTATTTCTTCATAATTATCAATTACATCAATGTAAGAACCGCCTATTTCTTCAGATGCTGGCATTTCCTGGTGAAGTAATTCTAGCAAATAATTCCAATCATCTTTAGGCTGAATGTATTCCATATTTTCTGCTTTAGCTAAATTATCTCTGTTGGTACTTTCAGCAATATTTTCGAAAAGGCATCTGCATTCCGGTATAATAATTTCCGCATCAAATGATTTGTTCATCAAACAGATACCAGAACATGGTGTGTTTAGTTCTGTCTGGGGGATAGTTAGATTCTGAGGACGTTGTCCCTGTGGGTCTTTCCCTCTTTGCAACGTATCTATACAATCTCTGCATTTGTCATTTGCTCTACTAATGCTTCTGAACAGGAATCGTAGAAACTCTTGGAGAGACTGAAAATTCGGCCTTAGACCCGGATCAACTTGCCAACAGTACAAAAGAGCTTCATACCTTGAGAGTACAGAAAATATATTTAGTTTGCATCGTACTTGATTAAACCTTCCATGTGTCGTTTACATAAAAAAAATGTTTTTTACCAAGAAAGACTGGATAAGTCTAACCAAAGTTTATGGCAAAGCAGATAAGTTAAAAACACGGGCAGACCAACAACAAACGATTAAGACAACTTTAATAACGTAACATAACTGGCAAACCAAGACTTACAGCCTGATTGGGCAGAAGTGCGGCCTAGCCAGACGACTCTGCTGCAGATAGCCGTGGACTTCAGAGTTCTGTAGACCAGGGTAGGGGATCAGCCCACGGGTCAACAACTCCCACATGACGACACCAAATGACCACTACAAAATATAGAGAATTTTTTTTTCAATATTTAAAGCAACTCTTATGGGCAATTTAAAGTAAATCTGTTTTTATAAATATAAGGATGACCAAGTTATGATCATTTTTGTTTAGTAAATACAGTACAAAATAACTCACAACGTCCGACTTGGTAGAGTAGCAGCCAACCTCAATACTTTCTGGAGCCATCCAACGTATGGGTAACATTGTTCTGTTGGTGCTGGTGTAGTAGCTAGAGCCGTACACTGATCGGCACAGGCCAAAGTCTCCAATCTTAACACGTAGGCGGTCATCTAGACTAATACAATACAAAACACGTTGTCATGTACTATATACATTATATAGTTAAATCAAAACACATGGGAACAATTTCCCCAAATTTTTCTGTTAGCCACACTCTTGTTTTATCTGTGCTCAACTATTCTTTGCACTTTTTCTAACGCAAACAAAAACTTACAGACAGTTTCTGGCAGCCAGATCTCTATGAACAAAGTCTCTGATACTGAGGTACGCCATGCCGCTAGCGATATCTGCCCCGTACTTCAGGGCATCAGAAAACTTCAGAGACTAGATGTAGGAAAACACAGTTCGTTTTGTTTTTAATAAAAGAATTTAAAAGTTATTGAATTGTGCAAGTTTCCGATGGATTTAAATTGTATTAGCCTAATAATAATATACGCTGTCGTGTTTTTATTAAATTTAGAAATTTGTCTTGGAAATAGTTGTATTTCACACTCGCCTTTCTAACCTAAACCGCAAACTAATCATTAATTAAACCCTAATCTAATACTGAAATGAAAACCGTATGTTAAAATTACAATATTTTAAAATTAAATTATTTTATTATCAAATCAAAAGGAAGTTTCGATTTGATCAGAAATCCACTTCTAAATTTTGTTAGAAATTCATCTAAAGCCTAATCTAGCTCTAATGTATAACCAAGCTTTGCCTTAACAATGTAGTTCAACACTCAGAGAAGAAGTAGAAACTAATGCAACTAAACTCATCTAAACTTTAAAATTAGTTATATCTTTCTTTAATGTATCCTTGATGCTAGTGCTAATACCAAACCAGCAAAGTTTTAACTTTTTAATTTATCAGCAAAACAAAACGATACATCTTCTGACCATTCCAATCTTAGCTAATCTCCCGCGCTAAGGTAGGGAGTAAGTCTCGAGTTCGAATCCGGGCTCAAGTCAGTAAACCGTCCCTGAGTCCACCCAACTGTGATGGGTACCTAACTCACGTTAGGGAAAGTAAAGGCGGCTGGGCATAGTGCTGACCACACTATCTCTTCATATGCCGAGGTCACCGAAGCAAGTAGACGGACTATACTTCACTTGCCCTATAGACCGTCAGGTTTAAAATGAATAATTAACTGATAATCACAGTTCCTCTGTAAAGTGCTTATGACTGAATTTTCAATAAAAAAAGAGCTTTCCGCACCGACTATTATTCAATTTCTTCTGCATCTTATTTGTTCTTAATTCTAGTGTTGGAATGTATTCCCTCCAACACAATTAAGTATACGTGTCAACTGGTTATGCGCCATATAGGCCGTAGACTCCGATTTCAGCCTGCTTTTCGTTTTTGGATTTGCTTCCGTAGCCTTTGTCCAAACCAAGAACAAACTACAGTACAAGGCAGCAGTTGTTTGATTTTGGAGTTGTCTCTCCTATAAGAGTTACGGTCCCCAGCTATCAAGCCCCACTTGCCCGAATCCTATAACTTGGGTACTTTTCAAGTTAGATGGACAAAATTTCGATTGTAAGTATTAGATAAGTATTAGATTGATTCAGAGGCGTAGGGAGGGGGGGGGGGGGGGGCAAGCGGACCGCATCGGGTGACACCATTTAGGGGGGTGACACCAAGGCAAAAAATAGGAAAGTATATAGAGAAAAGCTTGAGGGGGGGGGGGGGGCTTGCAAATCGAAAACTTGAGGGGGGAGGTGCAAATCGAAAATTTGTCCCCGGGAAGGGTTGCTACGCCTCTGGGGGGTGACAACCTTTAAGTGCCGCACCGGGTGACACCCGACCTCGCTACGCCACTGGATTGATATGGCTTTGTGGTACTTTACTCTATTTCGTTTATTCTCTTGATTCTGTCATATCTTGAGTGGGTTCCGGTGACTGGAAGTAGCACTATACAGTATTTCCGATTTCTTAAAATTGTCACAACTACTGCACCGATTTTTTTACTTCTAATGTGGATATGCAAGTAGTATTACAAATATTTATAAAGATATACCTAACTGTAAAGTTGAGCTGTAAAATAAATTCAAATAAAACACCAACATACGCCAGAAACAAGTGTCTAAGCTGAAACAAGGATGTATATCGCGATTATTTTCATATCGTCACAAAAGTGAGAATTGTGCAAAGCTCTGTTATTATTTGTGTCAAACGGTTTATAACTCCCCACTCAAAGGGGGTTAATGAAGCATTGTTTTAAGCCTTATCTCCCTTGTCTAAGTGGACACGCTATCTACTTAAAAATGAAAGACACTTCTGTTTGCATGTTATCCTGCATACTGTAACAACATGAATTCTTTGTTGTTGTGGGTTAGCTTTCATACAGGAACACGAGCAACAGTGGCAACTTGAAATGACAACTTTATTTACACTATGTACAGATAAATCCGAGGTACATCCATATTTGAAGATCAACTGATATAGGTACAAATAATAATCACGACTCCAAGTCATGGAGACATCTTACATTCTACTGTCATCGTTCCAGTCCCAAGTCCTAGCACACAACACCCGTTCACCTTTCGCTCTCTCTTTTATTCACCACTTTTTCTCCCCTTACGTACATGAGCGATCTCACCCAAAAACATGGAAAAACACATGACGATCGCTCAGACAGTCCTTCCGCTAGCCAGGTACTCTTCATTCATGCAAAACACAATATAATAAAGATACATAATTATACAGTCTGTGACACATACTTTAATTTAAAAAGCCTTTATTTTAGAATTTTATTACTGGGGAGATGAATGCTTGATTAAACAATCATTAGTGTAAGCTGTTTGTGTAATTTTCTATTTAGCCAGCGATTCAGGCTAGAGTTAAAAAGTAGAAAGAGCGCTCGCCAAAACGTCTATAGAGTAAATAAATAAAATCCATTTAAAACATATGAGCGACCTTACCTTATCGGGGTCACGGACGTAGGTCAGGAGGTCACCGTTCTCCATAAAAGGCAGCACAACGAAGGGCACGCCCGGCTCTTTCTCTGACAAACCAACCAGTCCCAGGACGTTGGGGTGTTGGAACTCTCGCATCATCACAGCCTCTTGGACAAAACCCTTCAGGTCGATGCTCTGGGACACGGATTCTTAGGGGGAGAAACAAACCGATACAATTAGCTGATTCATATGGAAATATTTTAAAAATATATAAATAAGACATCAATTATTGCAGATTTTTCTTGATATCAACACCATGATGAATGAGTAAATATTAAAACAATAGTAAAATGGTAAATGGTAGTGGCTGGAGTTGAAGTTAGTTACTGCACAACTGAATTGTACTCACCCTGTAACGTTTTTACCGCGACCTTGACCCCCTCAGAATCTTTTCCCGTGGCGAAAAACCCCTTGAACACACACCCGAAGTTTCCTGGGAGATAAACGAAAAATCCGATATGGATGTTGTTTCAGAATGTTATAAATAAATATAAATAAATAAAAATCGAAACCAGTTTTTATCATTTAACACAGAGTCTAGCGAAAAATACAGACTTTCGGATTTCAGACTAGGAACACTGATGACGCAGATTTTGCCCTGTCAGTACGAATTATAGGTGCTTTGGCTTTTGTGTATATAACAGATAGATATATCAGATTTTTCAAAAGACTTAAAGAACAAACAGAAAATGTCAACGGCTGCGTATTTTATCCAGAAGACTCTTAAAATCCCCTACCCCCCCCCCCCATTAGTATATCGCCCAAAACTGCAGCTAGCAAACACGTGTTCTATCGCTAGACCAAAGCGTCAATCAAGTTTTCATGTTGAAAAATATCAAAACATAACTATACCTTTTCCGATGGTTTTCCCGACAATTAGACTATCAGGATTTATAAATAAACTATTGATATCTGCTCTATCTTCAGGCTCTAGTGTAGATTCCAATATATGGGCCAGCCACAGTTTATCTATCACAAACAATACATTATTTCAATCACGTTTAATTAAACAACACAATGAAAGCAACGACTTTGTCAAGCTACTATAATTTTGAATAAGTTTCAACAGTGGCGTAGCGAGGTCGGGTGTCACCCGGTGCGGCACTTAATGGTGTCACCCCCCCCCCCCCAGAGGTGTAGAGACAAACTTTCAAATTTTTTATTTGAACCCCCCACCTCTTAAATTTTCGATTTGCAACCCCCCCTCAAGTTTTTCTCTATATATTTTGCTTTTTTTTGCCTTGGTGTCACCCCCCTAAATGGTGTCACCCGGTGCGGTCCGCACCCGCCGCCTCCCCCCTCGCTACGCCTCTGAGTTTCAATGTAAAGTGTAAAAATTCACGCCAGTCTTCAGTAGAAAAGAACAGACTATAAACTATACAATCCTATGATAGTTGGTTAAGAATAACACCTTCAAATTAATTACTAAATGCATTCATTTTGTTCAGTTTTGAATAAAATTGTCAAACAGTCCGAAACATTTGTGTGGTCTTGCTTAGGGGTAAATAAAGGTAAATTTATTGAGTAAGGGTAAACATTAAAAACATAAAAAATGCTTTATACCCACACCTTCGTCCAAAGCTTTCATGCTGGTGTTGTTTTTAGCCCGTAAACGTGAAATTCGAAGATAAACCACAAGAGCTAGGACAACCACAGCGACGATCGTGATGACGCTAATGATGATGACTGTGTTCGAATTGTCTTCAACCGTAATGTGGGTAAAGACAATCCTAACTTTTGGTAAAATCTTTTTGAAGTTTCCAATTTCAACTTTTACGTCTGCACTAAATCCATTAAGTATCGTGCGTTCTTCGCTGAGTATTAAATTTTATTCTAGGTGACTGCAGTCGTAGCTTTCAGTTTTTGTTGAAGTAGTTACACGCTCTGTAGCCCCAACCGGATTTAGTGCAGCAGTGGTAGTTCCATATACATAAGCTTGGTTGGTGCTGCTTGTGTTGCAGCTGTTCTCAATGTTGTTTACAATGGACGTAGCGTTGCATGTGATGGTGCTCTCGGTCGTGTCCAGAACGTTACAAGAAACTTTCCCAACGTAAACATGGATTTCGTCTTTGTTCAGCCATGTTGGGATGTTCCTACCCTGCCAAAGACCTTTTACTCACATATCAATACGGTACTAAAGATTGACCGGTGTAAATAATAATGTGCATGTACTTATATTTTCTAATGGGTGTAGGACAAAAGGCCGACATCCAAAAGGCCGACAAGACAAAAGGCCGACACGGACAAACGGCCGACATGGACAAAAAGCCGACAGCCAAAAAGCCGACAGGACATAAGGACGACAGGACATAAAGCCGACAGCCAAAAGGCCGACAGGACGTAAGGCCGACAGCCAAAAGGCCGACAGTCCATAAGGCCGACAAACCATAAGGCTGACAAGCATAAAAAATAATAATATCGCAAAATATGTGTTACTGCATAGCTTCTATCTTGACAACCATCGAAATAAGGCATGAAATAAGGTGAAACGTTCAAGAGAAGAGACGGTGCTAGTTGCTATTCTTATAAGGTGAACCATCGGGTCAAGCGACTAAAGATTACGCGTGTGTCTTAAATACAAAGGATCAACACCTAAATATTGTGAAAAGCTGTCACTGTTGTCTTTCATAGCTCCTTTTATGTCAAAGGGGTGAGATAATCATCAAAGAACAAAGTCAAAAGCTGCCGGCATTATCGCCCACATGCAACAAGATGGAAGAGACAATGTTAGTTGCGATCCTTATAAGGTGGACAATTGGGTCCATGCGACTGGAGATTGGTGGCGTGACCACCATATTACGCAAAGAAACCGAATGAAGTAGACCGATCACGTGCCTTGACTGGACTACATGTTAAATACCGACAAACTTTGATTTATATTTTAGTTTCGTCCATTGCGAATTGCATGACAAAAAGTGTATACTATATTCGATGGATTCATTACTTCTGTTGTGATACAAGTGTGCCAAAATTGGTAAGTTTTTTTGTGTGTGTGTAAACTTGCCCCTGTGATTTCCCTATATAAGGACCAATATATCGTCAACAAATAATTGGTTACATCGTGAGTATTATTTTATCCTATTGTATGTACCTAAGAATATTTATGAGAAACTTAAACAGTCGTATATAATTACATATTTTAGATATTAAACATGTCTGTAATTGTAGTTTGTTGTTTTATAAAACTTGTCGGCCTTTTGTCTTGTCGGCCTTTGGTCTTGTCGGCCTTTTAGCAGTCGGCCTTATGTCTTGTCGGCCTTTTGTCTTGTCGGCCTTTTGGATGTCGGCCTTTTGGCAGTCGGCCTTTTGTCTTGTCGGCCTTTTGTCTTGCCGGCCTTTTGTCCATGTCGGCCTTTTGTCCGTGTTGGCCTTTTGTCCATGTCGGCCTTTTGTCCGGATCCCTTTCTAATAACTTTTTTTTGTAAAAAATGATGAAACCTTTAATATTTTGATGATTTTCAAACCAGCCACAATTTTAAATAAACCGGGAGTGATCTCCCCTAAACTTTCTCGAATATTCTTATATAAAACAACAGGGAATGGGAACTCGGGATATAGTTATGATTTTTAATCTATTTTAAATACTTAAACTTTTTAAAATAGAATAGAATCTCATAGAAAAAAGTATTGCGCACCAAGCGAACGCCGAATAAAGATGTTCACAATGATGCGCAATATTATTAATACTTTATAAATTTAGATGCGTTTTTGAGAAATCGGAAATAGCGTAAATTAGTACTTCCCGTCAAACGGAAATTACTCAAAATTTGACAGAACGAAGAGAATTAGATCTTTTACTTACATGTGAAATTTCATTTATCTATCTGAAATAGTACTCAAGTTATAGACTTTTGAAAATTCAAATTAGAAAAAGTACCACTTCCGGTTATCGGAAATCGCTCAAAAGTTGATACGGATCTACGATTTTGATAAAATACTTATATATGAAATTTCATCAACCTAGCTGTAACGGTACTCAAGTTATCGTGTTTACACACACACACACACACAGACACACAGACACACAGACATACGGACAAGATTGCAAAATTATGTTTTTCCGTATCAGTGAGATGTAAAACGTCGAGATTTGTAAAAATCTCGATTTTTTTTTGCACGATTACAATACTTTCTCTATACTTCGTATATACGAGAAAGTAAAAACAAAACCCTAAAGGGATTGACATTTTTTTAACAAAAGACTTCAGAGTTATTTTAATCACAATTACATTGTCATCATAATTCTAACAATCAGATGTAATTAAATACGTTAGATCGTAATTTAATGAGAAACGATGTTTGTAACGAAAAAATCTAAAGTTGCCACACACACTGACCAATAGTAGCCAAACAACCTGACCTATAATAACCACACAGGCTAACTAATAGTGACATTAAAGACTGAGCGTTGAGCCATACCAAATGCCCATAGTAGCCTCACCGACTGACCTATAGTAGCCACAATGATTGACGTATTAAGACCAAATAGGTTGACCTATCTCTATACCACTAAAAATCAACTTTGTTTACATGTTTGAATATTTATTTGTTTGTCTGATTTACTGCTGGAGAGAATCTGCCATATGTATAGACCTGTAAAATAATATGTAGGTAGAGAAAAAAAATTCTTTTCAGACAGACTGTTAATCACAAATTTATTTAAAGACGTTAATTAATTTATTGATTTATTCATTGGTAGATTAACCAAATTAATTTTAAAAGTTTCAAAGAATAGCTTTATTTTGAATGAATAGTGACGTCACATTATTTGTTTACTTTTTACTACAATAAAATGAAGGCTTCTGTCGAAGAAGATTGTGTTCCCATTCCAATAAAGCTAATTTTCTGTCGGCTATAGCTTTAACAATACGTACGTTTGCTGTATTTATTACGTTCCAACACTTATATCAATTTTCAACTGTCTTTTTCATTGAGTTTTACACTAAATTTCTCTAGCTCTACAAAAAAGTTATCTATAGATCTAAATATCAGGTGGCTAAGAAAGTTATTTATAGATCTAGATCTAGAATCTAGGTCAAACCAAAGATTAATTAGATACAAACCAAAGATTAAGTACATAAAAATACAATCCATCTTATAATCATAATACATTTTTTAGTTCTTAAATACTTGAAATAAATCTTTGAGATTTATCTATCTAGATCTAGATCTATCTAGAATAGGTCTAATCTAGATCTAGCAAGAGCTACGCAAAAACTAGACTTAAGACCAAACGAGTCGTAAAATCTAGATCTAGATAATAATTCTATCTAGATCTAGATAATTTCAGACCTTCATTATTTTATATAAATCTGTGTTTGTTTAGCTATGTAATTGGCTAATTTAAGATAAAATTTAATTTGAAAGTTACTACTACTACTAGACTTAGATCTAGATCTATGCGCGTAAATCAAGTTGCATAAGGAGACTCAAAGTATTAAACTATACCATAAGTGACGTCACGAGTCTAATAGCTATGTTGATAGTGTAATAGGCTTTCATGCGGGTGATACAGGTTCTAGACACACCACGTCAATGCTAAAAAAAATCAATTTTTTTTTATATTTTAGATGTGAATGATAAAGTTGCCTATCTGAACTTAGCGGGATACAGGGCAGGTGAAGTAGATTTCATCTGTTTCTTTGTCCTAAGCAAATGAAAGGATGGTGTGGTCAGAGACATGCTCGGCAGGAATCGTTTTTTTAAACGATTAAAACATGTTGTCTGAGACTTGGCGGGACACTGTGCAGGTGAAGTAGAGTTGAGTAGGTCATCTGTGACGTCAGTATATGAAGGGATAGTCCGAAATCGGTGTTTTTAAAAGATAAAAAAACATCTTTTTGAATGTGGGGTCTGGTTATTTTGTGATGATAAGTGACAAACGTGATGTCATTTACGGATGACCCCCGAAACCCACAGTTATACAAGGGATGACCGGGTAAGTCTAGTAGTTACTTTAAAGACTGACGTATTGTAGCTACACACCAGAGGGGTCGTGCGGACCGCACCGAATGACACCATTTAGGGGGGAGACACCAAGGCAAAAAAATCAAACAAACATAATAGAATAATGCTTTTTGAAAGTTTAATTAATGACTAATTGGAGTTAAAGCCTTACTAAGTGCAAATCAAATATTCCGATATGGGGAGGGGGTGACACCAGGACGTAAACCAGGTGTCACGCGACCTAGCGACGCCACCGCCACACACAGACCTACACTAACCACCCCGACTGGCTCACCTGTATGACCAGAACACTAAAGATTCCTCTGGTTGCTAATGTAAACCCCTTGTTGAACAGCTCCGGGTCTGGATATATTTTAAAGTCTTCTATTTTCTTCACATGAGACCAGGTGATACTTAGATAGGGCTTTCCATTAAGTATCACATCTTCGGTCACGATGTTATTCGTCTTCAGATTAGGGCTTTTAATAGTTCGCCATTGTATTTTATTGTTACTGTCTTTAGGTGCAGACCATTTAGACATGTCAGCCTAAAACAAAGCAGAAATTTTAGTTATGACGTGAATATGTACATCCTAGAAACGTATGTTACTCCACTCACTATAAGGAAGGATTCCAATAACCTGATATTTTTATTTTAGTTTTAAGCAATAAAAACAACATCAATTTTTAAAACCCCACGATATTTAGACAGATTTTGATTCGAATTAAAATCTGCAATTATAAAATTTTAAATTAGCACGTACCGGTACTTTAGTTCCGTTAACCGTGATGTAAATCACCGGTGTTTTTGTATCGGTTTCTTCAAGATTGGTGCCAAAAATAGTGATGTAAGTCCCTCCACTCATGACCAAATAATGGAAAACAAAAGTGCAGTCAGCAAATTTTGTCTTATTTATATTTTAAAAGTGTAGTTGTTTTGATAACAACTCGTGATTGTCCGTCTTTAGATGGATTAAACATAATAAAATTAAGTGACTGTTTGAAGTCAGTAATGAACTCAAGATCAGCATAAATGTATAGAGTTAATACAATTTTAATTGCTAAAAAACTTAATTCGGGTATTAACGGTTTGGAAAAATACCCGTGGTCACATAGCAGAAGGTAATTGAACCCACCCCTACTCATTTGTATCAGTATACAATATTTCATATACTACCCATCATACTAATCAGCATTTTAGGACCTCCCCTTCCCCCCCCCAACCACACAACCCACACCACAGTTCAGTACTAGAATAAAAGTATTTGAAAAACAACTTAAGGAATTACACCACTTGGAGTAGAATAGCGTTTTACCTCTTCCTTAGAAACTGCACAATTAGGTAGTGTCAACCCATTCTAAAAGCAGTTATTTTACAAATTTAAAAAATAAATATAAGCAAACTCCAAGATAGATCTAGTTGCTATCAGTGGCGTAGCGAGGTCGGGTGTCACCCGGTGCGGCACTTAATGGTGTCACCCCCCCAGAGGCATAGAGACCCTTCCCATGGACAAACTTTCATATTTTCGATTTGCACCCCCCCCCTCAAACTTTCGATTTGCACCCCCCCCCCTCGAGTTTTCGATTTGCACCCCCTCCCCCTCAAACTTTCGATTTGCACCCCCCCCCCCTCGAGTTTTCGATTTGCACCCCCTCCCCCTCAAACTTTCGATTTGCACCCCCCCCCCTCAAACTTTCGATTTGCACCCCCCCCCCCTCGAGTTTTCGATTTACACCCCCCCCTCAAACTTTCGATTTGCACCCCCCCTCGAGTTTTCGATTTGCACCCCCCCCCCCTCAAACTTTCGATTTGCACCCCCCTCAAACTTTCGATTTGCACCCCCCTCGAGTTTTTCTCTATATATTTTGCTATTTTTTGCCTTGGTGTCACCCCCCCTAAATGGTGTCACCCGGTGCGGTCCGCACCCCCGCCCCCCCCCCCCTCGCTACGCCCCTGGTTGCTATTAAATTGCTCCAGTCAACGTAAATACTAAATAACACAATACAATATAGTTATATGATATTCCTATACTTTTTAAAAATATCTGACCCCTATAGTAGGAAAGTTTTAAATGATACGTATAGTATGATTGCATAGAAAGTCTAAGTTGTAAAAGTTACAATAAAAAGTGTTGTTCTACAATACCTAAGCATCGCTGCCTTTGGTTCTATCCTTTCAAACTTTGGATCTGGTTGAAATGTAAAGTTGTCTTTACAGTAGAGTGTTTGGTTGTTAACCTGAACTTTAACTTGAAATGTTGTTTTCTCAGTGAGGGGCTTTCGGGGAATGGTGCATTCTGTTTTATTTCTGATTTAAAAACATAAGTCTAGAACAATATATGCTGTAAGCTTAATTGTTAGAGATAAGTTTATCATTATGCTAACTAAAATAATCCCTCATCTATAAAGGAGAGATAGATTGGTCTATGCATTCCATATAATGCAACAGCAATGAACCATAAATTTGTGCGAGAGAGGGGGGGGGGGGAGACAATGGAAGAGGTCGCATATATGTAAAGAGATATGTATTTTTAAAAAAACAGCTTGAACGCAAACGTCTATGTTATAGGTGAACATGTATTCATAAGTTATGCCTGAATTTCAACTTAAGTATTGCCATGAAACACACAGATAACCAAAATAGAATTATCTGCAGTAATGTTTACATTTCAAGTTATCTTTTTCCTTCCTTGAGATACTATGAGAAATTATTCATTTTAAAAAACAACTTATAGAAAACATAACACGCAATTGAATTTGCTTACCCGGGACGTTTGCGGGTGCGAATGCACGAATCGTTCCCAACATAAAATATATACGCTGGGCTATATTGGTGCTGTATGTCAAACTTGATTTCATTTAACGTTCCACCGCTTCCAACTGAACAATTTAGTTTCTCATCTTGTGTAGACCCTGAGTGAGTTTCCTGGAAAAATAAACTCAAAACTTAAGAAACTAAATAAATTCATTCAGTAGATTGTAGTAATATGTGATTTAAATATAATATTTTATTATTATAAGCCAATATAAAGTTTTGTTACACACTGTTAGCAATGTTTCTTACGGAAGTTTTTCTCCGGGGGGGAGGGGGGGGGGAGTGCACTTGAACTTTTTGGGGAAGCGGACTAAAATTTCCGAGAGGATGGGTCGGACACTCCTAAAAGTATATATTTTCTATATAAATTCTATTTCGTTCGGGAGGGGGGGGAGGCGTTAGACGTTTTCGTTGGTTCTGCCCCTCCCCCCCCCCCCGAAGAGATGCCTGGAAGAAACCAGTGGCGTAGCTACCGTAAAGCTAGAGTAAGCAAGGCATAGGTACCCAAGGCACTTGGGGGCCCTTTTCCTTCTTGGAAATTAAGTTGTTTTTTTTCTACTATAGAAATGATTAAAAATTTCAAAAAGGCCCCAAGTCCTTTCATAGTGTACAGGCAGTGGCGTTCAGTGTGTGTGTGGGGGGGGGGCGTCGAATAGGGCCCACCCATATTAATAACACTATAGGCGCTGAATGCGGAGGAGGGGTGGCATCGAATAGGGCTTATTCCGTATAAATAACACAACAGGCGCTGAAAGTGGGAGTGTGGTGGCGTCGAAAAGGGTCCACCCCATATTAATAACACCACAAGCGCTGCCGCAGTTTTGGTAAGCAATTCAGGGAATCAGCCTATAAAATTTGAATGTGAGATACGACATCCGGCACCCGTACATCTTCACGTAACGCTAAAAACCTCAACTGAGTATGAAACTCCCTCCCTCCCACCAGTGGCGTAGTGACCCTTCCCGGCGCCCGGGGACAAACTTTTCGATTTGCACCCCCCCTCGAGATTTTGATTTGCACCCCCCCCCCCTCAAACTTTCGATTTGCACCCCCCTCAACCTTTCAATTTATTTTTCCAACCCATTTTGGCGCCCCCTAAGGTCGGCGCCCGGGGACATATGTCCCCCCCCCCCGCGCCCCCCCCCCCCCCTCGCTACGCTACTGCCTCCCACCACCACCACCACCCAGGAACCTCCATCTCCCTTCTGTCTCCCTTATATGTACGACTAGGTTGCAACAATGTGCACGGGTATGCCAGTTCCGTATAAAACTTCTTTAACATTCGATGGTGATACTGGAGAGTTTGATGTCTATGATGAGATTTTAAAATCTGATTATTTGGATATTATGATGATGTTATGAAACAAATTGTTTATATGCCTTTTGGGTCAGTAACTTGGCCAGCTAAAATAGATCTCAAGAAGCTCATTAATAATTTTTCAAACTTAACGCATGAAAAATAAATCAAATCTAAACAAATTAAGATACAATTTAAAAAAAATTGGCTTGGTTAGTGGTCACAAGGTCGGCCGTCCCCTGAGCGTTTACTGAAGGTGTAGTAAGTAACTCCCCCCACCTCCTCCCCCAACAATTTTGTATTTTCGGTAGGCTGTCACCCCTCTCTTCCTAATCTTTTAGTATTTTAACTGGATAAAACATAGTTTTGACAGTACATTTTGGATTTTTCTTCATGGGGTCACAACTAAATGGTGTTAGCGGTCATCCATAATCCGTCACACATCGTATCAAAAAGCCAGACCCCCCCCTCCTAAAATGACGTCACACCTCAGCATACAACTCCCCCCCCCTCAAAATTGCAGTTGAGTTTTTTAAACGTTGATATTTTTCCAAAATCTTATCTAAACTATCAAAATAGAGTATTTTAATCAATTCCTATTACAATTTATTAAAACAGTTTTCTAAAACGCGAAATAACGTCTAAAATTCGTTTTCTAACATTGCTTTTTTATAATGCAAAAGTGTGACTTCGCACCATCTGACCACCCCTCCCTCCCCCTCATCACACACCTGTACCAAAATTACGGACCCCCCTCCCCCCTACGAGTGTGACGTAATTTATGGACGACCCCTTACCGAATGTGGACCGCTCCTTTGCAGAGGTGTAGCGACCCTTCCCGGCGCCCGGGGACAAACTTTCGATTTGTTTTTTCCGACCCATTTTTGGAGCCCCCTAATGTCGGCTCCCGGGAAAATATATCCCCCCCCCTCGCTACGCCTCTGCACCTTTGCCTTATGAATCAATATATTTCACATTACGGTGCAGTACATAATAATACAGCACAGTATAAATACACAATCAGGACGTATAAAATACCAAAAAAATGTACATTATTTAAAACTCCTCCTTCGCAAGTAGCAATCAATGTTTCTTCCAGGCATTTTTTCAGTGTGGGGGGGGGGGGGGGGGCCGAAGAGAGTCTACCCCCCCCCTCCCCCTCTCCAAAACAAAATGGAATTTATAAAGAAAATATATACTTTTAACAGTGTCCCGTCCCCATCCCCCCCGGAAATTTTAGTCAGCCCCCCCCCCCCATCGAGAAAAGCGTCTGGTATAAACCATGGTAGCAATCAATTTTTCCGCTGCCCATGTTTAACTCAGTTGTAGCCTAACGTCTGACGAAGGGGCCCATTGATAATTTTTGCATTGGGGCCCGAAAATCCTAGCTACGCCATTGGAAGAAACTCTGACTGCTAGTGTTCTTTTTC